TCCTTCCACTTGGCTTGAACGACGATGAAAAAAGTGAACAGGGTGAAGTGGTGAAAGTAGTGAAGGCCTGAAACTGCCCCTCCTTCCCCTTGGCTGGGACGACGATGAAAGAAGTGAACAGGCTGAAGTGATGGAAGTAGTGAAGGCCTGAAACTGCCCCTCCTTCCCCTTGGCTTGGACTACGATGAAAGAAGTGAACGGGCTGAAGTGGTGAAAGTAGTGAAGGCATGAAATTGCCCCTCCTTCCCCTTGGCTTGGACGACGATGAAAATTGTGAACAGAGTGAAGTGGTGAAAGTAGTGAAGGCCTGAAACTGCCCCTCCTTCCGCTTGGTGACGGCGATGAAAATTGTGAACAGGCTGAAGTGGTGAAAGTAGCGAAGGCATGAAATTGCCCCTCGTTCCCCTTGGCTTGGACGGCGATGAAAGAAGTGAACAAGGTGAAGTGGTGAAAGTAGTGAAGGTCTGATACTGCCCCTTCTTCCCCTTGGCTTGGACGGCGATGAAATAAGTGAACAGGGTGAAGTGGTGAAAGTGGTGAAGGCCGGAAACTGCCCCTCCTTCCCCTTGGCTTGGACGACGATGAAAGAAGTGAACAGGCTAAAGTGGTGATAGTAGTGAAGCCTTTAACTGCCCCTCCTTCCCCTTGGCTTGGACGCCGATGAAAGAAGTGAACAGGCTGAAGTTGTGGAAGTAGTGAAGGCCTGAAACTGCCCCTCCTTCCGCTTGGCTTGGACGACGATGAAAATTCTGAACAGGCTGAAGTGGTGAAAGTAGTGAAGGCGTGAAACTGCCCCTTCCTCCCCCTGGCTTGGACGACGATGAAAGAAGTGAACAGGGTCAAGTGGTGAAAGAAGTGAAGGCCTGAAACTGCCCCTCCTTCCCCTTGGCTTGGATGGCGATGAAAATTGTGAACAGGTGAAAGTGGTAAATGCCTGAAACTGCCCCTCCTTCCCCTTGGCTTGGACGGCGATGAATGAAGTGAACAGGGTGAAGTGGTGAAAGTAGTGAAGGCTTGAAATGGCCCCTCCTTCCCCTTGGCGTGAACGACGATGAAAGAAGTGAACAGGGTGAAGCGGTGAAAGTACTGAAGGCTGGAACTGTCCCTCCTTCCCCTTGGCTTGGAGGGCGATGAAAATTG